CAGAGCACTTTTAGGAAACGCTGGAACGACAGACTCACATCATGGATGTGCAGCCAGAAAATCAGCAGCAACTGTGTGATGCTATCAAGTTCATACAGGCCAAAATCTCTGAGGAAAGTCTGCAGCATCTCGTTAAATTGATGCCACAAAAGGGCGGTCCTACCCAGCATAGTTGAGGTGTACCCATGGAGTGTAGTAAATGTATCAAACTTGAAAATACTACATATTCTCTCTTCAAAAACGCCAGTGTTATCTTTTCTGTTCAAGTAAGTTTCAATATTATACGATCTAAGCGAGCTATACTACACGTGTAGATATGACGTTGATGATCAGTGCCATTAATGCAGCGTCAGGCGAGCGTCTTCTCAACAGCAGCAGCAGCGAAACATTAAAATGTGAAACAGACTTACCAGACCGAGGATGACACCGCTATTACCTGAATGACTTTTCAACAATCTTACACTCAAAAGCAGTTATGTGGAAATGTGTCAGAGCAGCTGAACGGAAGAATTCAAGAATGCTTTCAGAGGGTTCAGCTCATACTGGATTAAAAGACACTTCTCTTCTGTAGTCACACTGACAAACAAAAACAGATACACATATATCAGTCCACCTGTTTGTACTTTTGTCTGTCATCCGAATGATAATTGCTAAAGTATGCTCTTATAAGCCGATCCCTAAATAAAATTAAATCAGCTTTATGCATTCTGAAGCATGACCCCCTCAGGCCTCCTTAGGGGTATTCAGACAGGTTTGATCGGTGATTGCAGGATGATATTCTCAGCTGAGACTCCATTTTCCAGCTGCGGGCTTTGCCTGCTTACCAGCTGATTAGATTAAAAGGTGAGCTCCTTCACCCTGAAATTTATTTTCTGATCTCCTGATAGATAGACTGACACCATCAGACAGATAAATATGGGTAATACCCCCGAGGCTGGCAACAACTTGTTAGTGTTGGATATTTATAAGCTGTGCAGTGAAACATACACCTGAATTTTAGGTTAAACCCCCCCCCCCCCAAAAAAAAACAGGATGTCATTCTGAAATTTATCGAGTGAAGCTACTCATGCCTGTCTTATTAGATCAAGTTTTCTGCTTCACTTTAATTCATTTATACCGACACTTACGGTGACCTTATGGTGAAACATTCCCAGCCTTCATTTAATTGAATGCAAACAGCGCACGAGGCAAGCTGGAACATCTACAGCTGAAGCCTAAAAAAATGACGGGCACGGTGACACAAGCTTTCCCTCTGGTTAAAATCAAGAAACTGACATAATGAGCAGCCGCGCCACCATGAAAACTGCACGCAACTCGACCCAAAATGCCTTTCTCCATCGTTGCACATTCTCCTTGAACGACTTTAAATTAGATTTATCCCCCTTTTGTCACTCAGACGCTCATGCAAGGCAGCAGCAATCGCCAGTAAAACATCACAGTTGTGACTCACTGAGCCTCCACCAGCCTGCTGATTAGGACAGGTCGGGTCAAGACTGATCACCTGAGCCCCTCAGACCGTATTACAATTACGCTGATAGAATACTGACCTTTTCTACTAATGCTAATGCAGGAAAGAGTAAGTGCCATCTTACTGTCGCAGGTACTAAAGCACCAAATAACCAGAAATGCACAAAACGCTTACAGTAACAGCACACATATACAAATGATCACACTTCTATCCCAGTTCAAGCACATTACACACATTGCTTTTATCTTCTCGCAATCCCATCTTAATGACTCCATTAACTGAAAGGCCATTAGCAGCATTCACTTTATGGCCAGCCAAACGGCCCAGCCGGGAGCACATTATGGAAAAGGCATGCGTGTCCCGATGTCCATTTCTTGTCACCTTCTTCGCACATACACATTCATTCACTTCCTCAATTCATCCCTCGAGGCCAGCTAGCCTGAAGCAAGCAGGCCTGGACAAACTGCTAGGTAAACATTGCACTACAGAAGAAACTGGAGGGCTCATCAGTATTTGAAGAGATCTCATATCCCAAATTAACCCAGTTCACCTTAGAGCAGCAGCTGCGTGAGGCCCTTTAGGAGTAAACGGCCATCCAAGAGACAGCCACAGTCCCAAAATATTGATTCAGCAGTGATAACAGTCTGATAATGATCTGTTCTTGCTCCACCACCAGAAATGAATCTCATTCCCTGCTACAATCCAGCTAAGCTAAAGAGAGAACAACTGTTCCCACTGAAGAACTGAAAAATGAATGATGATGCGAACAATGTGAAAATATGTTTTGGCCTGAACAGCACAACACAAGTGAAAGATATTCTCAAACGCTATCGAAAGTGGAATCACAAAATAAAAATGTGCGCCAGCAATTAGAAAAATGTAACCCAGAGGGATGATTGGATCAGTGATCTGAAAGGGCCCGACTGGTACAAAGCAGGGCAACGGGAAATTCGCTGTAAAAGGCTGTCTCGTGAACCATGCACACTTCTGCCACAATTTAGACAAAGCCGAGTGAAATGATTGGGGAGCGCCGCAGCGACACCGAACGCTGCTGCTGTGAGAAGCACTTAAAAAGATTAAATGTCACAAACACGTAGCTAATAATTTGGCACATCATCTCCATATTGCTTTTCTGTTTCTGCAAGTCTGTGCTCGACGAGCAGAGCGCACATAATCCAGCACGGATGCTCTTTGACTGGTTCTACAGTGTGAGTCACCCAGTTACTTTGTGACCATGGAGCAGAGCTGCGGAGGGCCTGGGGTCAGAGTTCATCTAATGTCAGTGAAGCAAAAACACAAGACACGCACATGAAACCTCAGCTAGATGACAAACGTGCCACGCAGGAACAGAAACTGAACTGAACGCTTGCCAAGTTGGTTTAGGGACGTTTTTGAGCCGCGTGTTTGTGCTGTGTGTCATATTTCATTGATCTCGTTTTGCGCCCTCAGCTCTGGTTTGTTATTTGTTACTCCTGTGATACACTAGCACATGCTAAATGTGTCTTTTCTTTTTCCTGCTCCGAGCTAATCTTCAGCTCTGCAGGCAAATGGTTGCCCCCGCTGAGAGGACAGTGGAAATACTTCATATCTCATAGGAGGGGGGTCGCGTCCAGCCCAGCCCTGATATTAGCTCACCACTCTGGGAGCTGTGGGTTTCAGACAGTTGTACTTTACTTCCGCTGAGCAGGAGTGGACAGAGGTTTCTGCTGCCTGCTTGTTTCCCTCCCTCCCCCCTTTCCCATGGGGTAGCAGGCCATTTATCAGCTACTAGAAGAACATGTATCGATGCCCCGGAATTCAGCGTTTATTACACTTCAAAGTGCAAGGTCAACTTGGCAGGGATCTGTGTCAAAGCTGTCAAGCACAGAAACATAAAACAAATAGCCCACGCAGAGGATGCGGCGTAAAACACCAAGATAAGGGGCACATGTCTCACCGCGAGATTCTTGGCTTCTATGTACACATTTGCCAGGAGGTTGCAAACACAGAGGTTTCCCCGTTCATGTTTTGTTTTGTTTTTTTTAATACATTTGAATCTAAAAGAGCATCATTAACAAGCAGAGGAGAGATAAGGAAAAGATGTAATGGCAGCATCCATATATTTAAAGAGAAAACACCTGGACTGAGGTTAGTTTTTTCCCCTCTGTATGACCACATGCCACATAAAAGTCACACCAACTCTTCCCAATTTGCCTCAGCGGCGAGCCATATTGAGAAGCCGGAGCTCTTGTGATTCGCTAATGTAGTCAGTACTTTCATGCCTTTGATGCCATCACATGCCACTCCTCCCCTCTTCTCTGGGTTTTCTGACAGTGACAAAGGGGATCGGCAGCGGCGTGTTATCAGTGTGCAGCTGCAGTAATCGTATTATTTAGTAATCTTAATTCTGAGAGGCTGACCAACACTGTGAACAAAGCGAGGGCCTTGCTAAGCCCATCAGAGCGCTCCCATGGAGCAGAGGTCTTTTCCTGCTCTGCGGCCCCTCCAGACCCACACGCTCCCTCATCCCTCCCCATTTCTCACCCTCCCTTCCCCGTGTCGTCCTCTCTGTTGCTTTCTGTCTCACACTCTCTGTCTCCCTCCTCATTTTCCTTCTGCTCTTGCTCTTCTATTTCCAGAAAGCTTTTTTATTCTCTGTCTCCCTCTCCGTCTCTCTCTGTTTTTTTTTTCACCCTCCCAATCTTTCTGTCTCTGTAACGCTCTGAGCTGGGAGTTTGTGTAATGGCGTTATTCACAGTTCATTGGTCTGTTTGAAGGGACTATCTTGATTGAGCGTCTCCCGGTGCGAGGCCTGGTGACTGTGGGAGTGTATAAAGATGTGGATGTGTCCGTGGAGATAGATGGGCTTAGTAATATGCAGGACATTGCAGAGGCTGGGTTTCGGTATGGAGTTTCATCCAAGCAACACATAGGGAGATAAAAGGAGGCTGAAATGATATGCAGCCGGAGTGCAACGCTCAGGGCATTAGACGTGAAATGGAGGCAACAAAGAACTAGTCAGGGAATCAGAGTCATTCTCATTAGCTGGTTCACCCTCTTCGGTTTTAGCCCCCCATCCCTTTTCCTCACCACCTCCTTTTCTCACCCTAATGAATATAAGTACACTGACACAGAACCAAAAAGTGCTCCAAGAAGCAAAAAAAACCCAAAAAACTCACCATTAATTAGTTCAAATTAACCTCAGGACTAAAATGTAGGAGTATACACACACACATACACACAAACACACAGGGAAAGACACCCTGTTCGCCTCATTCTGACACCACTCTGATGCTGTTGTAAGCTTGGCTGTAAGATCAAAATCTCTTTCTTTGGCAGACACACACAAACACACACATACACACACACACACAAACCGCCTGGGGCAGAGGAAGCACAGGAAAGCAAATCCGCTGTGAAGACACCATAAAACCAACACTGCAGAGAGACACGCCACTTCTGCGCTTCTGCATGCACAAGCTAAAAAACATGCTAATGACATGCGCCACACATGTGGAGACGTACACGCGTAGAAAGAGAGGGTCCTACTTACAGAATGAATCAGACGGTATCAGAAGCGCCGTGCCATATTATCACTGTAGTAGTGAGTCAACACAGGCACTGAGATCTGAGACCACAGAGTTTTAGCGCTTCAGCCAAGGGGGTGAAGGGTGGTGGTGGGGGGGGCGTGGGGGGAGTCAGAGGAGTTCACACTGTGTCAGTGGGTGTGAGGACATTCAGGAGGAATCTGGAGCAATCCCGTGTTTATACTGAGAAGAGAAAATAATCCCGATAGGCAAGGCAAGAAATCAACAATTGGTGGAAAAAGAAGTTTGTGTACAAAGAGGATGTACGGGGGATCGATTGGGCAGGTGTGTTTTTCTTCTTTCTATCTCTGACTTTTAAATAAAAGCAAACACAAAAATAACAAGAGCCCACCTCGACAAATAACAAAAGGAACAGGTGAAAATGAGTCAATCAGAAAAGGCTCCACCTTTTCCTTTTTTCTTTTTTTTTGCTGTCTTATTCTGGTTGCCTCTGTCTGCCCACCTCTCGTTTTCCTCGGGATTGCAGTGGGCCCGTAAGCAGAGGAACGGCGGTAACAGAAAACCAATCACCTCGGCAGACGACGAGAGAGCATAAAGGAGTAAATGACAAGCAGATGAAGGGGAGGATTTCCGACACCTGCTCTCTCCCTCTGTTTCTTTACCTCCGTCCCTCTCGCTCTCCCTCTCCCCAACCTGTATTTCCCTTCTAGTAACAGCCCCCCCCCTCCCTCCCTCACTGCTTGTTTGGGTTTTTTTAGTGCATGAGCTTGCCACAGCACTGACTGAGATTCTCCAGAAGCTACAACCACCAGGATGCTCTTCTGCTTTCTTTCCTGCTCTCTGCCTTCCTCTCACGCTCTGCACAGAATGACAATGATTTGCGCGCCGTCTACTGTGCCGGCGCTGGATGTCTGCCTGGCTCTCTGCCTGACACTTGGGCTGTGTACCCGTCTTCCTGTCTGTCTGTCTATCTCACCAGACTCAGAGCTTGTCTGTCATTCAATACAGCTGTCTGTTTACCAGGCCATCTTTCAGCCTGTCTTCCTCCCAAACACTGAGATACAGACCAGGCAGGTGCAGGCGGGACATCATTCTAGTCTCCTGCTCAAGTCCCCCCCCCCTCCCCAGTGTAAATCCTGAACCCCTCCCCTATCCATTGCGCTAACTAGCCTCAACACGAATTACAAAGAGTCTCCAAAAAGATTCTGTGCAATCCTAGTTAATTCTGTCCTTTATTTTCTCGCTGTCCCTGCTTTTTTTCTTCCCCCCCTGTCGGCTTCCTTCTCTTTCTTTTTCCACCTGTTTCCCCGTTTTCTGCTTCTTCTCCTTCTTCCTTTTTTTTTTGTTCTCCTTCTCCTCTCCTCGGTGCCAGTCTCCTTGCTCGTTATCTATTCTGGACAGTCTGTCCCTCCTCTCTCTCCGTCACTGAGGGAGGATGAAGAAGAATGGTACTGCTTCATAATGTACTTCTCCACAATGTGAGAGAAACTGGGGGAAATTTGTGGGATAAAAGCCGGGTGTTTTGGAAATTGTTCCACAAAAAAAATAAGAAGAAGAAGAAAAAAAACAATAATGATAGGCCCTCCTCCCCCGCAACAAATCAAAACAGAGCGCCTCTCGAGGGGGGATTTTCAATTACTCGCTTTTGCCCACAAGCCAATCTGGAAAAAGTGGCTGAGCTCTGAGGTGTGCACCAAAGTGTCGTAATCTCAAAAATATATCCGGTTGATAAATCCGGACATATCCAAAAGCTCTGTACCATTGCTCAAGCATCACTGCAGCCTATTTCATTTTAGATGAAGTCCAAGAAGCTCAATTGTGCGCTCAACACGCCGACTGGCTTGTTGCGCGTTGACTCCTCCGAGGCCTGTCGCCCTCTGCTTATCTCTGCTTTCGGTAGACGGCTGGTCCAGGCTCAACTCTGCAGACTCAGCCCTCGCTCGGATGGTTCGAGCTGATGGCAGGAGATGGTGGAGGCAGTTAGCTGTGGAAAGCTGGTCGCTGGAGGGTGGATGTTGGCTTCCATGCTGTCCATTTGGTGCCCATCTCTGCAAGGCTTCAGATCTAGAAGTAGAGAAAGAAAGGAGGAAAAGCAGAAGAGAGGAGAGAGGGAGAGTGCATGAAAGGTTAGCATGGTGACATTTGTGTCACTCTTCCTTATCGCGCATGTCATTCTCCTCCTCGCCACTCTCCACCCTGCCTGTCGTCCTGCTGTCTATTCCGTCCTTGTCACTCTTCCACGACTTTGCTGCTTGTTTGTGCCGACCTCCTCTCCACTCACTCTATGATTTGAGGCTTTCACTCTCTCCCAACAAGCTCATCTTCAAACGCTCTCGCCATCCCCATCTCACTTTTATTCCCTCTATCCAATTTCAGATCTTCACCTCTAACTTCTTTCATGCAATCATTTTTACTCTTTCTCTTCAGAATCCAAGGTGTCTGTTCACCACAGGCTCCACAGGCTGCATCAGGTGCAACAAAGGCACAAGACATAACTAGTTGGTCCAGACTAGATGTCACATTTTAATAAAAAGTGTCGTTTTTAGCTGAAAAACACAACGTTTCTTCTATTATAGCAATAACACAAAATCATGTGAGATGTAATGCTAAGATGGATTATCTGTTTGACACAATGGATGAAAACAATACCTTGAGGATATATTTACACAAAATTGATTCAAATATTAAAATAAGACACATTCAAATGAACAAGACAGAAGAGAGACAAATATCTTAGATATTTTAAAAAATAACTTTATGCTCATTTTTATTTAACCTTTTAAAACCTGAACCATTAAATAATTGCCAGAAAATTCAATTTTTTTGAAAAAAAAAAAGAGTAGTTATTGCTGTTATTGCTGACGAAAAAAATATATATTAATTTTCAAATGAGTTTTAATATGTATCATATTTGCTAAATCTGCCATTTTTGCAGTTTATTGCTTAAAAATGTATCATGCAATTTATTTACGTTTTTTTTTCCAGGGGGGGGGAAAAAAGTCTCGAAACATCACAAAAACTCACGTATCGAGTGTGATACTCTTGACGTTACAGTGGTAAAGACGCATAAAACAGTTTATTCCTCTGCAGTTGAAACAACATTAACACTTTTCAGTTGTGTTTTGGTGCAAAAGAAATGAGGAGAACCTCTTCAGTAAATGTAAAAATATTTTGCTCTTGTCTATAACATACTGAGATTTGGATTGAAATGTCATGCAGAGAGCTGCGTCATATTCGGTACTGTCACTTTAGACCTGACAGGTCACGCTATTTGCATTTCATTGTGCTCTCTTGCATTTAATGTAATGCAAACAAAACAATGAACCTTTTGTGAGTCATACTTTGGTACAGTTTCCAAATAGCGACACATATTATCTATGTATCAGTTCATGTTGTGGCAAAACGCATTCATAAATCCCTCTAAATTAACCCCGCTCCAGGTAGACAGGTATGCATGCAGATGACAGATGGCCCGAGCTTAGACAGACTTGGATGCCTGCTGAGTTTCTATTTTTCATTTCCTAATAAATCACACTACCTTTTGTCAAACAGATGACCCAATTCTAAAAATAGAGGCGCAATGTCAAATCTTACCCAACAGGTAGTCTCGACTCTGTTACTATGCAACAGTTTGCACCTGTTGAATATGATAAAGTCCTTTCTGAATCCTAATCAAAAAAAGCTTGCCGCTCTGAGTCGAGTGATGGATCTCTTCTTAAGTCAGAAAAGTACAGAGGAAAAAGGAAAAAAGGGAAAAAGTCATTTCAGAGCCCTGCAGTAATATCATCTCTTTTAACAGAGTAAAATCGTTAAATAAGTTTAGTGACTCCAGTGAGGTGGGTGATGGCCGATTTACAGTGAAACATTCGAGGCCATTCAGCTTATCAGCTCCAATCAATACTTCTGTTGGATATATACGACCCTCCCGTGACAGCGATATTCTCCAAGGACCATTTAAGATGAGACTAAGCACGGTGAGGTTAGTGCTCAGTGTTTTCTATTGTGTGCGTGTGTATGTGTGTGTAGGTCCAGCCTTTGTTGGCACCTTAAGCATGCTAAGGTGTCGCAGGTGTGAAAAGACGTAGGTGGGTGCGAAATGGTGGGCAGAAGGTATGTCAGCGAGGAGTGCAAAGACGGAGGTGCGTGTAAAAAGAGTGACATTGTGTGTCTGTGCATGTACATATGTGTCACAGCTGTCATGCCAGAAGCTATTATATACACCGATCTACTTCATAACCTTCTGTTCCTCCAGTCCTTCACACTGAGGCTGAGCACAAACCTCTGCTCCCTCTGAGTAGGAAAAAAAAAAAAAAATTGACACGGACACAGAAATAGCAGCCCTTCCACACACACAAACACATCCACAGCATCTTTATTCATTTCCTTTGTCAGGAAAGAGTCTCAGAGCGTCCTCAGTGTGTCTAAAATCAAACAGAATGTAGTGAGGAGCCCGAAGAGACCGAGAGAGGGATGGAAGTAAGAAGGGGGGGGATGGGTGACACAGCCAAAGAGGGGAAGATGGAAAAGGAGGCAAAGAGAGGGGGGAGACAGGCAGCAAAATGGATTGAGCCATTCAGATTTTGTCTATATCCATTAAAACTGGATAGGACGGCTTATGCCCTGAGGCGTTTGGGGGGAGGTAAAAGAAAAGGAGGATGGAAGGAGTGATGGAGGGAAACAGGTGGGGCTGGACAGGGTGAGTGGGTGAGACACAAGGAAATGAAGGGGGGCCCATCAGGAATGAAAATGCTCTGTATATAACTGCAGACTGAAGCCATACACATATATACACATATATAAATATATATTTATGAAACAATCAACTAAGAGGTGAAAGAGAATGAAAAGAGGAGGGGAAAAAAAGGAGAGGGATGGACACTCACCCATTTCAGCGGGCTCTCCACAGGCAAGCACAATCCCTGCTCTGTGATCCCATCCTGGGGAAAGGCGCAGCGAGATCCTGGAGCTCCCTCCGCTGAATACCAATGGAGCTGCTATTATCAGCTCTCTCTCTCACACACACACACACACACACACACTCACACACCGGCAACTGAGGAGGAAAAGGCACAAACAGCACACAGAGTCAAGTCTGGGGTAGTTGTTTAAATTAGAAAAGAAAAGCAGTTCAGTGACGCCAACAACATGTGACAATAAAGGGAAACACTGCAGCGGCACAACTGGATTTAAATTCCCTCCCAGCGCTCCTTATAGTCGCCTTTTTCTTATGAGGAAAAAACATCAGAGGCAGCGCACAAAGCTGAGGCATCAGTCCACACACACACATATACACACACTCATACAGTGCCTTTACACAGCCTATACAAATACTTACTGAGCTTATATTCAGAAATCCCAGCGAGTCCCACAGCTCACTCTATTCACAGCTCCTCTGCTTCACAGACGTGTTAGAGGAAAAATGAGTTGTCCGCTGTTTTTCTTTCCCTCCCTGTGGGTTCCTCACAGTAGTATTAGATGCAAAGATAAAAGGATGTTAAGGCAGACTCTATATCCTCCCTTGGTTTCTCCTCACATGCAGTATACATCCAGTTTTTCTGTCTCCATTTGTTGATTCGGGTCCGATCCGTCCACCTGCCAGTGGACTTCGCTGCGATACGGCGACACGCGACGGCAAACTGCATTCACTTAGTCACCCTCCCCTCTGCCTCTCCCCTTGCTCAATAGTATACCCGTACCTCCTTGGCTTTCTCCAATCTAATCAGCTAGCTCTCTCTCTGTCCCTCTCTGCACCCTCCTACTCTCTCCTCACCCTCCCTCCTCCTTCCCAACACCCACTCCTCTACACACTCTCTCTCCCTCCTAGGTATTTTTTCTCAAAGATGGATATCAAAAATAAAAAACCCATCACCCCTCCATTCTCTCTCTTTGCTCTCACTGTCAGTTTGTCCGATAAGCATTTGAAATGTGGGGGGGCAAAAGAAAAAGCTGGTCATGAAGAAAACGCACACTATCTGAATGAGACGCACACTCACACACACGGCAACAGAAAGACAGAGAGAGTAATCAGAGGGATGTGTTACATCCACGGCCGGGGAAAACTACCCTGACAGAGTTTGACGTGGCTGCTCGCTCGGGGTGACAAACACTATCACACGACCGCACCACTCGCCTCGTCTCGTACCCCGTGACACACACACACACAAACGTGCACACACCAGCTCGCCACAATGTAAACACGCCCGTCGGCTCAAACGCAAAGGCGCATGTTGACATAATGTCGCTAATGTGCACACACAGACACATGAAGGCGTAGATCCAATCAGAGAGGGGAACCACTAATTGTGAAATTGTGATGCTGGCGCCGCGTTTAACTAAGAATATACGAAACAACAACCGATGCCGGTGTATTTTTTTTCTTTGTTTTGTTGTTGTCGTTATTGATTCCCTCGGGGTCGTCAGACAAACCTGCAATAAAGTTTTTTTTAACTTTGCGATGAAGGTTGTAATAAAAGGAGAGAGCCCTGTGAGCTGGTTTGGTCAGACGACCTGAGCAGCGCTGCATCATTCACGCCACCATGAATCGTTCTCCTCACGTCCTGAATTAATAAATCATCGAACATGCTTTTTTATTTCTTATTGATAGTGTCAATTTTTCATGAATTCTTTTCATATTTAAATGAAATCCACTTTACTGGACGCCACCGCCTCCATCACATGTTCTTTATATAAGGACAAATTAAGTCGTGCAAATGTATGGAAATGTATTGCTGATAAGGGCAACACAGTGGTGTAGCGGTTAGCAATAACGCTCCTGGTCGGCTTGGACCTTTCTTTGAGGCATTAGCACCAATTAACCTCGCAAGCGGCCCAAAGACGTGCTTGCGAGGTTAACTGGTGATTCTAAATTGGCTGGAGGTGCGGATGCATGAGTGCGCGCGGTCAACAAGACAAATATTGGCAGATGCAATCTTCAGTCGATAAACCAGTGCATAACTGTATCACAGCGTGCTGTTAGCTCATTTCCATCTCTATATTTTTATTCTTGGACTCTACTAGAGCAGTTTTGCAGAATTCAGATTTACTTATGACCCTTATTTATCTTTTACTGAGCCTGGGTGAAGCCACGGTCTAAAATACAGTAAGTCATTTTGATGCATCCACATTTCTTCTGACAGGCTACCACTGGCAAACAGAAGGTCTGAATGCAGGAAGGTTGAACTACAAAGTGAGATTAATGGGTTAGCGAGTTATGTTGAGTGTAAAGTGTTCTGCAGTAACTCATGGTTTAGTTTAAACTCGTCCAGAAGCATCATCATTTCACTGATTCTTTCTGTGTACAGCGTCTCATGAGCGTGATAAAGATTCTCTCTTGAAGAAATACCATTTATGCTTTTCATACTTTTTTGTGGAACTTCTGAAGCAGCACCTTACTAAAACAACCGAGTGAAGCCCAGCTGTAAACTTACAGCAGTTCATATTATGTGAGCTGCACTGCTACTGAAATTTGCATGCGTTAATCTGGTGATTCATAAAGTGTATAAATGTTTTCATGCTTGCTTCAAATGCTGTTAAGTCTCCTTTGCACTGCTCCAATTGCAGCTAATAATGCGCAGATCAGAAAATTCATCTGTTACATTTGTAGTTTATTTGCAGTAACAGCATCTCGTTGTACTGTTACATTTTATGTTTAATCTTTATTACCCATTTTTTTGCTCTCTGTCTGGAGTAGGCGGTGCCTTTATGTGAGCGTGCAAAGATCTTTAAGCAGAAACTCTGATTCGCCAGAGAAACCACCATTGTGATACCTGCTATCTGGGGTTTTAGGTTTTGTCTAGCCAGCTAGATATCCCACTTGGGGGAGGGGCTTCTGTGCTCGAACACAGAGCCGAGTGTCTGAGAAATCAGCTGGGTGTTTAGAGCGTCTGAAGCTCTGAACAGTTTTTGCACATATTATGTCATCGTTGTTTAATATGAGCGTGAACAACTGTAACAACACAGTGACAGAAAATATGGAAAAGCATGATTATGAGCCCTTTAAACATGAGTGATACAAGGTTGCGGATCGATTCCCTGCCTACTTCAGTCAGCATGTCGAAGGATCCTTCAGCATGATACTGAACCAGAGTCCGCCCCCCCCCATGGATGCATCCATCCAGTGTAAGTGTTTGAGTAAATGTTTAATAAATATATATATATGATAGTCTTCAATAGCAAGTTAATTAGATAAGTATTTTAATTATAATCATGCTTCTGTAAGCCACTTTGGAAACCCACCTCCACCCCAGCTCATTTCATACCATTTCTAACCGAATCAATGTGATGTCGGTTGTCATTGATCCCAAACCACACCCCCAGCTCCCCAGGTGGTCCAGCAGCAGACAGAAATTACCACAGATGGAAAAGAAAAATCCAGTTTTGACTAAAGTGGTCCTGACAGACATGAACTAATGCAATGCTTAATAAAATTTAATTGAGTTGAATTGATTTCAAGTGGTAAATGGCATTTCAGCATAGTGAGTCCTTTGGCTTATTAAGAAGAATGGGCTGCCTATACTTTTTACTAATGAATCAAACTTTCAGTAGAACACTTTTACTTGTAATCAAGTATATGTAACTCACAGAAAAGTGGGGACTACTTCCTCTCCCACACACCCAAACCATTGCTGAAAAACATTCCTCCTCTCACTGGAGCACCCCGACTCTTCATGCACAACTCCCTTGAATGGAGCTGACACCCTTCTCACTATAATGTTCAGTCATACAAGGCACAACTCAGCAACAGCACGAGCCCATTGCAAGCAGACAGCAGTCTCCAGAGAAGCAGCTCACAGTCTATGATGTCACTGCCTAACTCCCATATCCCCACTTTCGATCAGGCTATGCTGTCTCATCCCCCCTAACGAGACTGGGACACTGGCCTTATGATACCACTGCTCCTCTCTGGTGGGTCCAAGTAGCCTTTTCAATATAGATCTTTTTCTTAACCTTACAGCCCCAGCGCTCTCTTAGCATTTTGTGTCCTCCAAGGCTTTTAAACTCACCACGGTGTGTTGAATCATTGATTTTGTCACTCTGTGCATGAGGTGGCGCTTTAATTGCTAGTGACAACACTGTGTTGCCTAACAGTGATGTTTGTACACTATGCTTTAAAAGATTTGTCCAGATGTAATCTATTTCATTTAATAAAGTGGCAGCAAAAAAACAAAAAAAAAAAAAAATGCTTGTGTGTTGATCACTAATTAATCCGCACTGCTCCAGTCCAACCTATGACTTATTTCATTCATAACCTGCATGCTAAGTGCTGTACGCTAATGTTAAAACCTATTTGCGTCTCATATATTAAATGATAGCCTCTGGGTATATCAACTCTGGCTTGTCCGCTAACCTGTCCCCTAATCAAACCAGGAAGCAAATATAGCATGTGACAATGCTGAGCTGTCTCCTCCGCTTTGGTTTCAAACAGCCCCCTCCACTCACCGCCCACCCAATGCATCATCATGTTTTCACCTATTCACTTTGCATCTCATAAAATAATGTGCATCTCAAGATGTCTTTGTCCAGTGGGCGGACAGTGCTGGAACACCTATTACTCACTCATGCTTGAGCCTATTAGACTGCAACCATGTCACGCTAGAGGTTCCCTTAGGCCACGGCTGGGGTTTTTTCTATGCATGTGTGTGTGTGTGTTTATGTGGACATTTGGATATGACTGTTTGTGCGTCTGTCCAACTTGCAAATTTAAAGTTCCTTTGTAGTGTGTGTGCATGTGGTGTGTTTGTGTGTGTGTGTGTGTTTTTCGGTGGAAGATTTGGAGGGCTGCGTACACACAGCGTTACCCCTAGCTGTGACCCACAGCTGCAGTTTTCAAGAAGTCAGGAGGAGTCTCCGCGTGCTGTCTCTCCCATTTCATCAGACACGCTGACGTGCACCCCGCAGTCCAAGCGCGTGCACGCGGTCTAATTTACCTCTGGTTTAATTTACCCCGCTCTCATTTGTTTTTTTCCTTCGCTGCTGAGTGACACCGAGACTGCTGCATGCGCACGACTATCTCCGTATCATACCTCCATCTTTTTAAGTGTTTACAATATAATGCGAATAATCCTACTTGGTTATTTACCTTAATATTAGTGGTGATTTAGGCCTCCACAGAAAGTCTGCTGTCACTCTCTGTTTCAGTCTCCCTCCTCTCTCTAAATATGCATTCAACAGCTGTCTCTCATCTCCATCCCACACCACTTTGCTCTTGACAAATTGATGTGGAGCGCTTTTACATAACAACTATGTAACACGCGCGCACACTCCAAATACCATCCGCAGCACAAATGTAAACCTCGCCGAACCATTACACATTGCACTTAAGTGCAGGTGTTAAAAGCCCAGTGTTTGCAAGCGCCGGGCGTTACGTGTGAGAGTGTTTCCTTAATTTTCACTGTGCAGAGCGCAAATGTGGCTTCCATGTTAACTACTGCTTGGAAAGCGTGGACGAGAGGGGAGGGAAAGGCAGAGGAAGACAGAGAGAGGAGGGAGAATTGACATTCTGCCCGAGCACTGCGCTGTGCTCATGGCATAATGATTAGCTCCTCAGTATTCCAGTCACATATGCTTCACTATCAATGAGAGAGA